CCTTATTGGGGTAAGTTACTCCATACCCGCTGAGCAGGGCAAGTCAGCCGGGATGTGTCTACTCCCTTATTAGGGTAATGTATAGACAAATATATATATATATATATATATATATATATATATATATATATATATATATATATATATATATATATATATATATATATATATATATATATATATATATATATATATATATATATATATATATATATATATATATATATATATATATATATATATATATATATATATATATATATATATATATATATATATATATATTGAGTAGGAAAAACATACAGCACATGGGTTGTGCTGTATGTTTTTCCTACTCAATATATATTTATTAGGGTAAGTTACTCCATACCCGCTGAGCAGGATAAGTCAGCCGGGATGTGTCTACTCACATATTAGGGTAAGTTACTCCATACCCGCTGAGCAGGGTAAGTCAACCTGGATGTGTCTACTCCCTTAATAGGGTAAGTTACTCGATACTCGCTGAGGAGGGTAAGTCAGCCTGGTTGTGTCTACTCCCTTATTGGGGTAAGTTACTCCATACCCGCTGAGCAGGGCAAGTCAGCCGGGATGTGTCTACTCCCTTATTAGGGTAAGTTACTCGATACTCGCTGAGGAGGGTAAGTCAGCCTGGTTGTGTCTACTCCCTTATTGGGGTAAGTTACTCCATACCCGCTGAGCAGGGCAAGTCAGCCGGGATGTGTCTACTCCCTTATTAGGGTAAGTTACTCCATAGTCCATACCAGCTGAGCAGGGTAAGTCAGCCTGGGTGTGTCTACTCCCTTAATAGGGTAAGTTACTCCATACCTGCTGAGCAGGGTAAGTCAGCCGGGGTGTGTCTACTCCCTTATTAGGGTAAGTTACTGACGGTGCCTTACTACTGGGCAGGGTAAAGAACTACTGCTAAGCTTTCCTGGGGCGAGAGACCGCGCCTAACCGAAAACTTCCTAACTAATGATCGCGAATGTCAATTGGCGCACCTTCTTTCCCGTTTTTGGTTGCGATTCTGCTTTATTGGCTGCTCCTCGTCATCAGTTTACGAAAGCGATTCCGGTATGCTAAGCCTTCGTCTAAACAGAGCAAAAGAGTACTATTTCTGTCTTTCTTACTTTCTTCTCTCTTTCTTCCTTTCTTTCTTTCTTTCTTACTTTCTTCTCTCT